AAATACTTTTTTTATAGTAACAATGTACATCAGTTTGCAAAATTGCATAACTCTGCCTGCAATATTTGCAGAATTATTTGCCCCTTTGAAACTTAGAAATTTTGGTTAAAGGTCTTCAAAGATATTTACTTGATACTTTACACATGCACTTAGGGTGATAATTTGTGGGTCATAATTGTATGTCACTGACCAAGTTCCATAACTCTATCTTGCATTAAGGCTGATTCATATCCCTTTTTCTACTTAGTCTCTTGGTTATTTAATGTTAACATGCAAGTTTTACATATCTCAATAACTATTAAAGATATTTATTTAAAACTTCACATATGCATTTAGGGTCATAATTGTAGGTCACTGACAAAGATCCATAATTCTATCTTGCATTTAGGCTGATTTTTCTCCCCTTTTTCAACTTAGAAATTCATGGTAAAGTTTTGCTTGTAAGCTGTTATCTCAATAACCACTGAAGGGTTTGTGCCTTTTTTGGGACAGTTTTATGCATTCATAATAATAAAGCAGTGATTTACTTGATAAAACATCTTAATAACAAGCTTGTGTACCTTTTCTGTCAAATTTATGTATTCATAGGTAATTAGTATTATTATACTCAGTAAAACACCCTTGTGACATTATCTTCCAAATAGTCAAGCCAATACTGTATAATTAGACTCTCTCTAAGGCCTATAACATGAATTTATAAAAAAAAATTAGCCCTTTTGTGAACTTAAAAAATTTAACATTATCAAGGCTCTTTTACTATCAAGCACTTAGAATAGTCGAGCGTGCTGTCCTACCGACAGCTCTTGTTGTATTGGTTGTTGATGGCCAGACTTTATATAGCGTGTAATGTAAAAGAATATGATGTCATGTAAAAACTAAGTGTTCAGCTAAGTCAATTTGAAATGTATGAAAAGAAAGAACCAATCAGAATACAGCAAACAGCAAAAGATGCCTTATCTTTTATCCTGTTTCTGTTTTTCTTACTTGAAAAGTTCAAATCAGAACATCCCCTATCTAAGAAGAAATATATTTCAGCAATGATGAATCAGCAAAAGCCATGTTGGACAAAGTGTGAGACGGCTTTTAAGATGTCAGTAAACATAAATGATAATTATTGGAAGTTTCTTCTCCCCATCCAGGTTCCGTCTTTTTTGGTACATTAGATACATACATTTAACTGTTGATAGTCTATGGTAATTACAAGTATATAAATAATGTACAGAGTGATGTCTGGTTAAGGGCAAAAATAAATACATATATGTAAATATATAAATACTTTATTAGTGAAGTTACATGTACAACAGTGTATGCTGGGTAATGTTTTACATCTTTAAACCATGACATATGATAATTTCATATTTCTTTAGCTAATGCCTTTTACATTTCATTTATTCTATGATGAAAGGATAATCATTTTCTTCATTCATGTTTTACTAGTATGTGTTTCTATTCTATGTTTCCATAGCAATTTTGTAACATAACACAGTGGAACTTGGTGTTCAAGCAACAGTAAAGAGATATATTATATATGGCTGTATAACAAAGGTTATTTCTTATTGCAGTGTTGCTTTATTAGCAGCAACATTATTATTTATAAAACATATATTAATGTTATAGCTCTTTAAATAAGCTCAGCTTTGTACAAACAGATAAGATGTCTATGAAAAAGTAGTGCACGTTGACATAAGTTGTAGCTGCAAAGTTGTGAATAATGTCTGTGAAAGGTATGCTTCAAGTTAACAAGAACCATAACTCATCCTAGATAAATCTTGGATTGTTTCTCTTACTGAATTTGAATAATTTTCTGATAGTTTCCATCTTCTGATCTTATTCTTAGAGCTTTGACAGTGTCCTGTTGAGCTCCTTGCCAGTGGTCCTGTTTTAGGGTTTGCCTTCATTGAATGCCGCCCTTCCTTGTTGATCTTGTTTTTCTTATTCTTTGCAAATGTGAATGATCTATCGGTTCTTTATATTAATGCACCTTTAAATACCTTTGCCCGAAACAGTTTATTTAATGAACACAATGATAGGTTTCAGACAACTATTATATACAACTGTGTTTAGGGCAGCCAATACAGTCCAAAAGGTTACCGGTACATTTATTTTCTCAGTAATTCTCCTCTAATTTAAATCATGAGATTTATTGGTTCAACATTAAACTTTGAGGACAAAAAAATATAAAGATGAAACATGGTTTATGATGTACATTATTTTTATGTCAGTGCAATTTATTTGATAAACAAAATACATTTGGCTGCATGTATTTAATATTTTGATGCTGAAATTCCTGACATTAACATTCATAGATTAAAAGCACTAAAAGGCAATTAAGTAAATTTAGAAGGACATTGGTAAATAATGAGCTCTTTGAGGTGCATTATGGTATATTGTGTTGAATCTTTATTTTCTTGACAATACAGGAACAAAAAAGAACATATAAAAGCATTCATTATTACAAGAATAATTTTCATTTAAGGAGGGTTTGATTAATTTCTAGCTTTGTTCAAAGCGGGATTGAATTAATTTTAATTGAAGGGAGTAACCAGTGACATAAATCACACCTTTGGCATTTTGTAATAATCTTAAATATTGATTTCTTTACATTATAATCAAAAGGTTTCAGATGTAGAAAACAAAATAATTTAAGCATGAAGTCTGAAGCATATTAAATAGAAATACCATTTCTGTGGAATAAGGTTTTCATGAATATTTAATAGATTTAGCTGACTTTGTTGTTTATGATTTATGATATGATACTCAATATCATGGTGTTTACAGAAAAGTTTTATATGGCTGCTTTCAATCACCTTTGCTAATGATTTGTTTTATCAAATGTTATCAAAGCCTTGCTTATCATCTAAGTCCGCAGAATCGCTTAAATTGCTAATTTGGGAAGAAAAAAAGCAGGTTTAAGTTCAGATTTTTGGGAAAACTGCATGATTTTAAAGAAAATTTCAATTGGGAAGAGGCCTTTATCAAAGTCTGTTATAATTATAAGCAGGAAAATTACTGGTTGAACCATGGTGTTATGTATTTGATCATACCATTTAATCCATGATAAATCTAGATTATTATTTATTACATGCTTTTCGGTGGTTTATAGAAATATATCAGTGATATAAAATTGGTAATTTCACTGTTTGAAACAGTGAAATTACCACTTTGATAATTTCACTGTTTTGAATTTAAGCCCCTTACGTTGTTTCAGTGAAATACCAGCGTGCACAGTACTGGGTACCAACTTAATGACGTGACGTCGTAAATGACGTCACGTTGTATTATTATTTGGCGCCCTTTTCATTCAGTATTAGGTTTAATGTCTTTTTAAAACGTTTCTTTGCATGTAATAAAAAGAAAATTTGTTTAGTTTAGTGTAAGATCGAAATATATTTCACCTTGTGAACATCAAAAGTTCATATTTCACTTGTGGCTGCGCCACTCGTGAAATATACCTTTTGGTGCTCACTCGGTGAAATATATTCCAATCTTACACTGAACTAAACAAATATCCTCTATATAATAAGAGATTTGATTTGATGCAATCATCAAACCATGATTAAAATTAGAATATTAAATGCCATGGCAGTGTTTTGACCATGGTTAATGAAAGTAACAGGACATCAAAGCAAAACAAAGTCGTGGTTTCTGATGATCATACATGAATGACCATGAAAAACTTAAAATGTCTAAACCATGGTTGACTATAATAAGTGATGTTAATATATTCGTGTCTTTTTTAAGCCATGAATATAGGTTTTAACTACGTTTTATATATATTTGGTATTTTGACTAGTATTAGCATGTTTGTATGATAATAAATCATAATTCTGAGAAGGGCTTAATCTAATGTTGTAAGAACTTGTTGCCCAACCCATTTGCATTTTGATATATACTCATTATTTGAATGATATGTTTGTAAACATGTATTTAATGCAATAAAATATGTTTAAACTAATAAATTATAATTCTTATAAAGTAAAAGTATGAATAAGCCGGTTGAAAATGACTACATAAACTTTATTATTTATACATGAACTTTCACTGTAACATGATGGTGAAAGATTTGAATTTTCAGATAATTTAAATGTTTACCTAATTGGAAAGAACTATTTCTGGTATTTCAATGATTATATACTTTTGTGTGGGAGAAATAGAAAATATCAGAATATGTCTTTTCCATGTAACATTCTATGGTTGTCATGAAAACATGTATACCATCAACATATCACTAATAAATGTAAAATTAATATTTCCTGGCAGAGTAATATTTCCTGGAATGGTTTTATAATGTGATGTTATCAATTGCAGTGTGTATTTTCTGTTATATCAATCATTTTACCTCTGATTTTAATATAATGGACTCATCCATATTCAAATTATTGGATTTGGAAGGATCCATTATTAGTTTAAAGGATTTCAAGATTAAGATACAAAGCCACTTGAACCCTCAACTTGCTGGTGGCAACTAATGTGACCAGTGCAGACCAAGGTCACCTGGGTCATGTTCTGCATTGTTTGTCCGTACTGTACATACATGTATTTTGAAATTTTCCCTAAAAATATTGAATGGTTTTGTCCCGAAAGCTGGACAAGTCCATTTATAATAATTAGCATGGTAAAGGTTAAAGAGACATTAATTGGATGAAGAAATGAATTTAAAACTATAGTAGATAAATAGTTAAAAAAGAAAACATCACTGCATCTTGGAAGACTTAAATCATGAATGTAAATGCATCTGATTTGATAGAATACATGTACTTTCAAACATGTTTACATTGTATCAATCAGATTATCCTAAGAAATGGAAATATTATCTTGGTTTAAACAGTATTTATTTCATATAGTTCAATCATGTACATTTATCATACAACAACAATATATAGTGCAGGATTGAAAAGGAAGTCAAAGACTTCCTGAAACATTATCTTATTTCAGATGTCCCTTGTGCAGATTTGACTGAATGTGATTATTCTAAATACTGGATTTTTTATCTTTTACAGGAGCTGCATATGCGTATGAAGACGAGACGTCAAGCGATAGTGATGATGAAGTACTCAAAAGATTCAAATCATCAATGGAAGCTACAGCGGCTATCAAAAGATCTGGTAGCAGGTACAGCCAAAAAGCCTCTGGGAGTCCGACCATGTTGCCAAAATCAAGTAGCAGAACTCCTGTTTCTACGCAAAGCTCTATTGGTAAATATGATTACCCTTTACTCTTTTATTTCTCCCATATACTTAAAGAGCGGACCTTTCCTCCTGCGAACCAGGATCTGTATATTGTTTGATGACAAGATTTCGAGATTAATTTGGTGATGTTTACATTGTGGAAACCATTGTATAGAGCCTTGCAGACTGCACGAAGACTAGGCTGATATACCATGTAGGCATACTTGACTGCATAATGGTTTCATAGCATTCTTTAAATTTAAGTTGTTGTTTTTTTTCTCAGATATTTTGCTATGAATCAGTCCTCTCTCAATACTCAACCTTTATGGCTAAAAAAATCATTAAGATATCTTATTTTATGAATTATTGGAGTGACATTCACTAAACGTGTTTGGAGCAATGCTGATTTATAAACAAAACCCTTACCTCCCATGACTTTATCAAGTTAAATCAACTTTTCAATATTTGTTTTCTCATACATTTGGCATAACTTAAGGTCATTGAATTATATATATATCATGATCAGGAGGCAGTCTTGGTTGATTTCATTGTATGCATATTTTTGTGTTTATAAAATTTATCAATAGTAAAATTATATTGGTTTCATGATGTACTTGTCAAAGAGTTAATTGTAACATAGAATATCTCTGTTATTTAACACTCATAAATATTGTAATTAAACAGAATTAATTGTTCCTAGACAAAGTATTATTCTGCTAATTTAAGTTGGGTTTTATCCATTTAGAAATGATTGCATATATGCACCATTTGCTTTTAAGACAATTTACATGTACTACCATTCTTTTTTCATACATAATATTTTTAAAATTCAAACCAAAGTTTTTGCACCATATAATAAAGCTTTATATTTTGTAATTGATATGGAATTACATACTTTTCTAACTTGATGGAACTTTATAATCCAATACTATTAAATATTCTTGAATACGAGAAATAAAAGCTGGCATTTGGGAGTCTAAACAAGTATTTTTCCCTGTGAAAGCTTCACAGAGTAATTAAAGAAGATTTCTAATGATTTTTTTGTTGCAAGGAACTCATTATAGGTTGAGTTTTATTCCCTAATCCTGTTGGGTCTGGATTAAAGTACAGCTTTTATACCTTCTTTTATTAGAGAGTTCTTTATAAGGAATTGATGCTAAAGACAATAAAATAATCCCCAAGGGTTGAAAATTGTAGAAAATTGGATTAAGATGTTGGAATCAGAGTAATAATTGAAAGTCATCATGTTTAATGGTATATTTATATAAGTAAACTGATGTACTTTAAAATGTAGGATGATGGTTCAACAAAAGGAGGGAAATTTTGACGCAAGATGTTTCTAAGAAGTATTTGCATTGTTCATGCAACTGATTTCTTATTGCAAAACCAACTATATTAATAAGGATGTCAGCTTACATTCTTGCATTACTTAAAGCATTGGATTATGTTTTCTGTAATTTTTATCTCAAATAAAGCTTTTTGTCTCAAGTAACAACAATCTTGTTCTTTCTAATAAAATTAAAAATTGTATATAAAGATATGCCAATCTATCAATAATGCAAATCCATCATAAATTCAGTGTATATGACTAGTCTTTATGCCGGCAATATTTTCATTCTTCTCAAGGTGGCCTTCACCTTCCATGGTTCTCTTTTCACCAACAGTAGGTTCTAGTTCTTTCAGATGATAAAAAGAGAACCGTGGAAGATGAAGGCCAACTTGAAGAGAATAAAAGATATTGCAGGCTTGGTAAGCAGGCAATGATCACAGTGCCTTTTATGAAGTTTTCATTTCCTCTAAGTATTGAATTAAATCACTCAAGTTTAGTTGGAATGAATATGATATTGGTGATGTTACATATTTCTCCCTTATAAAAACCTCTTAATGTTGGTTAGAATGTTTTTTAGAATATCAGCAATTGCCTAAAAATACTTTGAAAAGGCAGAGATAAATCTTCATTTTAAATGCTGTATATATTATTAGTTATTAAGATTGTTAACAGGTTATATGGCCCTATATAAATGGCTGTTTGTAAATATAACCCGAGCCACTAGGCGAGGGTTATATTGCAAACAGCTGTTTTTAGAGAAAAAAGTAAGATTTCTTCATGAATCGACAATAGCTGTGTATATAAAACTATATAAACGTCATGATTATCCAATGAAAAACAAGGTTACAAATGTGCAGTATTATAAATATATATCACCAGTAGTTCTGTATAGATAAGGTGTTAAACCCATTTAGGGTAGACAGTACTAAATAAGTTATGAAGAAACAAAGCTTGTAAAATACTGGCACTCGTAATTCCTAATTTTGTCAAAGCTAAAAAGTAACGTCTACGATAACATCCTGTTGATCAATGACTTATTTATTTCATTGTTTGATGTATCATTGACATTTTAGAAGCAATGTCAAGATGTATTATCAGTAAAATGTCTTACTTATATACTTTAACAGTGATAACTACATTTCAGTTGTTTGTTTCAAACTTTCTATTATAAGGTTGTATGGAATATAAAATAAAAATGATATGGTCATGTGTTTATATAAACATGTGTATGTATGATCATGTTTGTATATAGTTACCGGTATTTGTTTATATGGTCATTTGTTTATATGGCCATGTGTTCATATGGTCATGTGCATGTATGGCCATGTGTTTCTATGGTTATGTGTTTACATGGTCGCATGTTTATATGTCATTATATGTAAAATGTTTACTGATAAACAATGACTCAGGTTTCCATCTGTCATTTTAACTTCACAAGACATTTAAGGTGGCATATCAATACACTAGCCGAGTAACTTCTTAACATCCAAAAAGAATGTCTGCCTGCATTTTAACACACAGCAATAAGGAGCAAGTGATTCAAAGACAGGACCTTAGTGGTACAGTTGCAGTATATTCATATAACATAGTAATCAAACAAGATTGAACTAGATTAGAATTTATACATTATCTCAATCAGTTATAATTCCCATAAGAGTCACTTTAAAAGAGAATATAAAGCATTTAATGCTTTTAGTGATTAATTTTGCTTACAACTTCTGGGTTATAATATATTTTTCTGTTTACTGTGGTCTCTAAAAAAATAGAAAGTTAAAGGCCAAACATTCATCTGTTAAAGCTGTGGTCACAGTATGATTGTGCTCAAGTAAGAAAATATGTGAAATGGGTCTTGTTCTTGTTATTCTTGTAGATGAAAGCACCTGTGGTCTTTTTTCTGTCAGTTAATCTGGAAAATAATACTTCTAGTGACTTTAATAGTACCTTGTTGCTGGCTAGGTTTTATATTAATTATTCTGTTTTTTGTTAAGGTCAAAATTAATGGTGATGAACTTTTCAGCTTTACTGGCAGAGAAAGACGACCTTATTCTCCAAACAGCACAATTGTGGCTTAAAACTTAAATATTGCTTACCTCTATTTCAATGAAAATATATTTCCAGATACAAAGGAAGGCTTTATTACATGATACTATATTTATTTATCATTTGTTATTTTATGATATGACCATAACTCAAAAACCATTTGGTTGAATGTTGTTTCAATTTTGCATACCTGCATCCTTTAAGGCATATAACAGACATCCTGTATTAAAAGTTCCTTAAAGCACCCATTAGGATGTCATACCTTAAGGGTTAAAAATGTTTCAAGTTACAATGCAGGAAAACATAAAATGGATTTTTAACATTCAATGAAATAGTTCTTGGAATGAATATGTTTGGTATTTGACAGCCTGACAAATGTAATCAGAGGAACTCAGTCATGTGGTTTTAAAATGCTAGAATTCTGTTAAATTTGATATCCAATGTCTTAATTCATGGGGAAAAAGGAAACCTTGTTGTTTTTTTTGTTTTTTGTTAATTCATAGCTTTTAAGACAATTCTGTAGTTAATAAGAAATATGTTATGAGCATCTTTTGAAATCTGCTCAATAGTTGAAGAAAAATGTTCTCTATAACATAATAAATTGATGTGAGAATTTAAGAATTCCATTTTTTTTTTAACTTTGACTTTTCTAAAATCTCATACCAACATTGTATTTAAAAAAATCCTATAATACATACTGCAACTTAAAAAGACATCTGCAGATGTTTCTACATAATACTAATTTCATGGTTGGTTGTACTTTAGCTGTTTTCCTTGAACAGCCTCAAACAGACATAACCTGCAACATTTTCAATTAATATGCCAATTGTTGCATGATCTTTAAGGTTTCCAATTTTCACTACTTTACTAGACTGTAATTAGCTCATTTCTAGTTCAGCAAGTGACAAAAGCATAATTGTTGTACATTACAATGTAACCCTAAGATAATTGGGTTTTAAAAGTCATTAAAAAAGAAAAAGAAAAAAAAAGAAGAAAACAAAAAGAACACACATGCATATTTGTTGATGCTCAAATGCATGTTCAAGAAGCAGATAATGATGATATATTTTATATCTTCTTTGGTAAAGTAATAAATGCAAATTGATGTATAATAATCATTTCTCACAAATGGATTTTTGACTTTCATATCTATAATTTACCTTTTGTAAATATGACTTATATTTCAGATAAATCTCAGGTGAAACAACCAATTGCTGATCATGTGACCATTGACAATGAAACTACAAAAAGAACAGCTCCTGATAAAACGCCAACACCAACAGGTCCAAGGGTTGGCAAACTTATTGACATGGATTCCCCTGTGCATCAAATGTCCTCACCGTCTAAAACCTCTATTGCGACTGAACCACGCCCTTCTTCAAGGGAGTCTACCAAAGAAGCTAGTGGTGCAAGCGGTGAGGGAAGTGCTCCTCCTAGCCAGCCTCGTAGTCCACCACTAAGTGAACCAGGAGCAGGAGAAATACCGACTTCATTGACTGGTTCCCTTACCACAGGATCAGCACATACTTTAGAAGGGACCCAAACTTTTAACAACCAGGCCTATGATGGTGTTTCAGTGTCAGAGAGTGAGCATGTTACTGATGTAAGTATTTTCTATTAACCATGTTAAACTAATTACTAAAGCTTGCAGACCAGTCTATCTTTGCAGCATTACCATTGGTCAATTTTAAATGTAAATTTAGATTAACCAATCAAAAGTCAGAATATTAAGACCGGTCTGCAAGTGACTCAGATTGTTTCCCAGCTGATATAACTCTTTGACATCAGAAACATAAGAATGTTCTGACAGTAAAAATATCAGGTATTTAACAACTTTCAGATTTTAAGTTATGGTTCTGATAAGATGCATTTTTAACCAGAGTCCAGTAGCTAGAAACTTAAATCACTCTTGAACATAATTATCTACAGTAACTTGTTATTGGAGAGAAACTGCAATTGCAAATCTTACGTTTGCTTAGTATGCTGTGTGCCTGTGTTTAAGTGAGTAAGTGGTTCTGTAGTAATACAGTCTGCCTACAGGTCCTGAATGTGAGAATTAAATATAACTTATCCAAATAAAATTACTGATAGTCCTTCTGATGAGACTTTAAAATCAAAGTCACATCCACTTATACATTACAAACAATGAATAACCTTAGTGCTTCATTTAGGAAGAAAGAATCTCTATGCTTTTGCCTTATCCTTGAAGACTACTACATTTTTGTACAGAGCTGCCCCTTGGTTTCTGGTGACATAACTTTCTGATCACCTGTCTAGCAATAACAATATATAGTGTTACAGAATGAATTATGATGGTTGTTTATTATTTTGATTCACTAAGGTATATTTGGAACTATAATCTATATTTTTATGCCCCCGCCATGTAATGGCCGGGGCATATAGTGTTACCCTGTTCCGTCCTTCCGTCCTTCCGTCATTCCGTCCTTCCGTCATTCCATCCTTCCGTCATTCCGTCCTTCCGTCATTCCGTCATTCTGTCATTCCGTCATCATCAGTTTCCGTTCATTATCTAAGTAACGGTTGCACACATTCAACTCAAATTTGACATATGGATATGTCATGAGAAAATACAGGTCAAGTTCGAATTTGGTCATGGTTCGATGATTTTTGGCAGAGTTATGCCCCTTTTACTTTAAAATAATATGAAATTTTCAGTTTCCATTCATTATCTCCCCAGCGGTACAACACATTCAACTCAAACTTGACATATGGATACATCAAAGGAATGCGCAGGTCAAGTTCAAATTTGGTCGTGGTTCAATGATTTTTGGCAGAGTTATGCCCCTTTCACTTTGAAAATAATATGAAATTTTCAGTTTCTATTTATTATCTCCCCAACAGTACAACACATTCAACTCAAATTAAACATATGGATACGTTTTTGGAATGCCCAGGCCAAGTTCGAATATGGTCATGGTTCAATGATTTTTGGCAGAGTAATGCCCCCTTTACTTTGAAAATAATATGAAATTTACAGTTTCTGTTCATTATCTACCCAACAGTGTTACATATTCAACTCAAATTTGACATATGGATATGTCAAAGGAATGGGTAGGTCAAGTTGGAATTTGGTCATGGTTCGATGATTTTTTGGCAGAGTTATGTCCCTTTCACTTTGAAAATAATATAGATACATCTTAGGAATAAGCAGTTTAAGTTTGAATTTGGTCGTGGTTTAATGATTTTGGACAAACTTATCTTTCTTGAATGTTGGAAAAATTTTGAACTTTCAGTTTCAGCACTCATACTTTTGTGGAAAGTTTGAATTTGGTCGTGGTTCAATGATTTTGGACAAACATATCTTTCTTGAATGTTGGAAAAATTTTGAACTTTCAGTTTCAGCACTCATACTTTTGTGGAAATGTATGTAGCCATTATTTTGGCTACAAATATGAAATATGCTATTTTCAAAAGGTTAAGACTAAATAATTTCAGTGCTTTGAACATTGTATGAAAATGGTTTGTGTTAACATTGAAAAGTTTTAAGGGCTTTGAACTGCAAATGAAAAAAATAATTTGTGCAAACAAATTTGGAACTAAATATTATAACATCTGAAATTTTGGCTGCATGCCGGGGCATCCGTGGCATGATGACACATTTCTAGTTACATGTTATTTTGATATGACTTAACAATGCAGAAGAATTGTTGTAAAATCAGGAAGAATTCTGTCACTAGTGTTATAAAGTTGAAATATAAATGAAAAATCTTAATAATTATTCAGAGATTGCATGCTGTTGAATGAATGGGGCATGAAATTAAATTTCACTCTCCTTGGAAATACATTCATTGCAACAAAGGACACTTGCAAATAATTAATTTGTCTCAAATTATCCTGAAAATTGAGATGTTTCCAGTTGGAATATTTTGCATTGATTGGCTATTATAGACAATAATGATAGTAGTGTCAATGTCATAATGCAGGTTGAAACATTAGAAAGATTGGTTGATTTATATCATGTTCAAAGAGGTAATTCAAATGTGGACCCTTTAAGTTGGAATCTGTCTGTATTTTTTAATTTAAATCATAAATGTTATGATGTTATTATGTCATAATAACACCATTATAAAGGAAATACTGGGGCGTCCGTGGCCGAGTGGTTAAGGTCGTTGACTTCAAACCACTTGCCCCTCACCGCTGTGGGTTCGAATCCCGACAGGGACTTTGGATTCTTTCATGTGAGGAAGCTATCCAGCTAGCTTACGGAACGTCGGTGGTTCTACTCAGGTGCCCGTTCGTGCCTGAAATAATGCACGGAAGGGCACCTGAGGTCTTCCTCCACCAGTAAAGCTGGAACGTCGCGATATGACCTATACTGTGTCGATGTGACGTAAAACCCAAAACAAAACAAAACAAAGGAAATACTGTGACTTTCCAGCTGTATTGGTTGAGAAGGACCTCAGGGTGTTTGTCCCTGCATTGTTCAGGGTGGAGAATGACCTCGGGGTGTTCCAGACCTCCATGCATTATTTTGGGGTGGAGAAGAACCTAGGGGTGTTCCTCCATGCATTATTTGAGGCACAAGCATTCACATGGCTGTAATTCAGCTAGATAAATCAACCTTAATAATTATGATGTTTTTTATTCAGAGTTGGTCGATATGTCAGAATGATAACTGTTTATTGTTTTAAACAAAAATCACTTCTCTTTAGGCACTTTTGGTGTATAATTTACATAACAGTTAACTTATTCCTGTTTTTGGTTCAGAAATTCAAAACTGACTGATGTTAGATCACTAAAGTAATAAATTATGTATTTTTTACATACATCAGTAACTTTTTGAAATATTAGGTCGGAAATAGGGCATTATTTGGATCAATTTCAGTTATATGAAGCTGGTATTTATACATTATTCATGTATATATTTTCCGGTTAAAGCTTTCATTGTGCCCTGAATTAATCGGGTTAAATTTACTGGAAATAAAACACCAGGCAGGCACATGCTAACACAGTTTGTAATGCCTTTATAATGTTGTAGGACATTAATAATTAATGATTATGCTTTATTGATCTTTTTTTTTATTTAAATGTTTTTATATACCTCCAGGTTATTTACTTATTCCATTTATATACCCTATTAAATATCTACAATGTTATAGAATTTGACTCCCAAGATCGAAATTTCTGCAAAATATTTATTCAAAATATTTGTAGATGCTATCAATTTTTCAACTTAATAGGGCCTACAGTGATATGACAGCATGATATAGTGATGCAACCAGATTTAAGTTGTATGTTGGCTTACTGGTAATCTTTTGTACTATAGGTTTATACAAATAATATAAGTGGAAGTCATGAACATTAATTTTTAATAATTTTTCTGAAATGTTTGGTGAAATTCTCCCTATTATAATAAAAAAATAATTTTTCCACATGTATTGTCATCAAATGGTAAAACATAAAAACTGCAAATGTAGGTATACATCAATGGAGAAGAAGGCAAAAGCCATGCATTAATGGATAGTTCTTGTGACTAGATAGATGTTTATGCATGAAAAAAGCCCAATTAACCCTCTTTTGTTTTGTCAAATGGTAGGATGATGTGTTTTAAAATCAGCTCTAAGTCATTCCCAAGTAACAACACTTGAATGTTACAAAGCTTCTTATTAAAATCAACCCATGCAGCTAGTACAGATCTGCACAGTTCACTGTCAAGACAGTACCTGTTTTTAAATTTTTTTCCTGAAAATGGTGCATGACCTTTTTAAGACTGGAAAACGGACAATATAATATCAGATTTTTAGCATGTTCTATATGCCTACATCATTTCTAGATTTGTGTCAATTAATTAAGTATATGCCTAGATTTGAACTTTGGAGTAGTTTATCCTCAATTTCCATGTAAATATATGGTGTATATTGCAGTTGTTTTGCATAAAGTTCTCCCATCTGAATTAATAGACCAAAATATTATGCTATTTAGCTTGAATGTCAGGTTATTAAAAAACTGCATTTCCATAATATTTTAAAGTGTATGATGCTATTTTTGGCTCTCTGTAATCTGTAGAATAAAAATTATACCAAACAATTTATGTACTTTGGCAAAAATTTGGAAAAGTGGTGATGTTTTTGAAGCAATGAAATGACAATATTGCATGAAAATAGTTTGAGTCTGTTCATGAGAGATGATATGTAACAAATGCAACATCTCTCCTGGCCTTCTTAGTACCAGCTCAAGTGGTATTCAATCTTCAACACTAAATATGCTGGAATCTTAGTCCTGAAGGAAAAACATGACATCACTCAAGTGTCGCTCATAGTTCCTTCACCATTAGAATGTTTTTGTATAATTTTCAAAGTAATTGGATGGAGCATGACCAAAGTCATCACTCTTTGTGAGGGAATGTTTTATTCTGTTTTCTTTAATAACTCATATGAGTAAAATAATAGAGATATTTCTTTATAAAACTTTCAACATATGACCAAAAGAATATAATAAAACCCAAGATGAAACAATTTTTGAAATATCTTTATCATAAATTCCGAGGGATCACTTTGTTTCCAGATTTTTATCATATTACCATGTAGTTACAGATTTATACCCGTGAGTCAACATTTTGTAAACCATTCCATTGATGTATTTTTGTTCATATTTCAGGAGCACATGTTCGATGTCAGTGATCTTCAGAACGATGTTCCGTTAATCTCAAAATGTGGTAACATTGAAGTGACATTTAATTACATTGCGCACAAATCTCGTATGGAAGTTACGATCCACCAAGCGCAAGATATACCTGCCAAAGAACGCGGAGGCGCAAATAATACGCAAGTGCGGTTATTGTTGTTACCGACCAAGAAACAGCGTCATAAAACAAAAGTAAAACAGGGAGATAACCCAGCATTTGAAGAGACCTTTGTGTTCAATAAAGTATCCCAAGGTACTGTACATGTATATAATATAGTTTTTATACCTCTTTCCAAATAGGGAGTTACACAATTCTTTGCAGACGTAATTGCTTTGGCTCTGTCATCTTTTGAACACATATGAAATTGAAATCATATTATACACTTAACAAATCTTATAAGTGTGCATGCATAAATGGTCTCATAGGTGTATCAATATTTGCCCAATCATGCTGAAATTTTCAATAAATACAGAAAAGGGACAGGCTATTATTTTTATTTGTTTTCTTTTTTCATTCAAGATAAATTTTAAGATGTATTTCTAAAAAATGTGAGTGCGTGTCGAAAGTCGATGTTGCAAAATGATGTTCTTAAACCGTGTCACTCTGACTGTGCATTGCAGCCTTGGAGCGTCGTCTCATCAATGTAGCATACCGTTGGAGATAATTTTAGGGTCGGCGAGGAATTTTATAAACGCTGCCAGTTACTCTGTTATGAAGATAAGCCTTCTTAAGCCTTGTTATTACATTGCGGTGAACACCATGCATTGCGCAACCTCCAAATGATATAAACATGTAATAAGTAAAAAATAAATATGCAATTATGTTTGTCTTAGGTAGGAACTGAATTTAAATGATTTTCAGCTTTAACAATGCAATGGAGTTTAAATAATTATATAAACAAATTATTTTTTACTAATCTCTGCTTGGTGTACTCCAGCGTAGACCAATCCTAGGGCTATGCGATGCTGTTGAATAGATAATGTACCCATATGTGATGTTTTTCTGATATGTGGATCTCTGTTGTATTCGAGAATATCATGTGCAATTTTCTTTCACGCATTCACACAATTTTTTCGTACATTGTGTGAATTTTGTACGTTGATGGTTGAACGCGTCGCATAATTAAATTTGACAAGTTTGGGCACAAGAAAAGTGTGGAAATGCAGCCAATAGTCAGAACACAAAATTTTGTAAAAAAATATTGATGAACAAAAAAGTTATAAGGACATAAAAGGTGCACACTTATAAGATTTGTTAAGTGTACAAGAGTCTGAACAAAATTGTGTTATTTTAGTCCTGTCGTTTGAGAGATCTGTTTTGTATTTGAGTAAATGCAGTAGCAAATAACTGAATGGAAACTCAAGTTTGCACAAGTTCTGTCATAAATTTTGCAATGATCACAAAGCTGATTTTTTTTGGGATTGTTTTGAAGGATCTCTACAATCTATAAATAAGGCAGAAGATTTTGTAAAAAATTATACCATTGATTCCTGTTTAAGTTGCTGCTCTGCTAAATGGTATAATGAAGATAAATTGTCTCTCAGATTTCCTAAGTTCACACTAAATTTAGTATAATTAGCTGCAAAAATCAGTCGACAAAAATCAGTCTCCTCGGGAGATTTTTGTCTTGCATGATAAATTCATAATTAAGCCATTAGTGACAGATTAAATATTTTCCAAAATATTTATTGACTTCATGCACTCTATTATTGTGAATATTTGCTCATATCTTTGTCTGCAAAGGGAATAGAGAGACACTTTTCTTTATCTTTAGAGATTTTGAGTTTTATAAGTAATTCAATGACAGTTTAACATTTTGTGAGAAGTTGTTCTGAAAATTGTTGTTTATAAGAATAACATGCAGTAGATTATAAAGTGATAAGTTGGTTATGCTTGGAAACATGTTTTCATTTTTACATAATGAATTTTATCACATACCCGCTTAAGCGACGCCTTGAAAATGGTATTGCTTATGCCTAGGTCACAAATAAAACGGGCGCCGTCCGATTAAACGATTTCCGCTCGATGATATTTTATACTCATTGACCCCAGAAATTATTGTCCGGCCGCCTTAAGCTTTTAAGTATTACTTAAAACTCGAAGGCGCCCGCCCGATGAGCAAAATTTTCAGCTGCTGCCGTCCGATAGTCACTGCTGCCGGACGGATGCCGGCCGATATTGCGATTTTTTGGAGAAACAGACGCCGCCCGGCGGCATTTTCTTATTTGTGACCTAGGCTTTAGTCGAGCATATATTTTGATGTGACATCATTTGTGTTATAGAAAAATAGCAAAAACATTAGCATTATACTATAGGCTAGTCAATGAAAACAGTCTTTATTGTGGCTATGTGAATATTATATTTGTGTAGGCTCAATACTAAAATTTATTGAACTCATTGAAATAAGATAATATTATGCTTTCCTGAGGCTCTCATAGTATAAATTCATCTAACTCTATAAATAAATTTGATAAAGTTATGTCAAGATTGTGCATAGGTTTACAAAATAACTGAAAAATCTTTTTCTTTGTTTCAGAGGAAGTTTTAGGTTATGGAGTAAGATTCCGGTTGTACGGTGTAGAGCGAATGCGCCGGGAGCGAATGATAGGAGAAAGTATTATAGGCTTTGCGTCCCTCACCATGGATGCTCCATCAACGCACTGGGTCATTCTAGAACCTCGTAGTAATCTTAGTGTAAGTTTTACTTCATATTTAATTTAATAATCTTGCTCAACCACTTTAACCCTTCACTCTCTGGATTTGTATAAAAGATTTGCCCAGCTTTGAATCTGGAACATTCCATTTAGATTCTAAGGGATTTCAATATCAAAATACAAAAATTGAGTGATCAGAAGTATAGAGCCTTTAAGACTGCACAAATGTATAACCCTGCCTGGCTCTATACTGGAGGCAGAGGCTAATCACTATTGGTTCCTGCAGTTGAAAGGTTTGGCCTTAGAATTGAACACTCTAATACAAGGGACAAAATATTTTCTATTTAGTATAGCTTACAAGTTGAACATTGCTGCACAACATATTTAGCTACAAAGCTTGAAAATCTAACAAACATCAATATGGAAAAAGAAACAAAACAAAAAAAAACATTAAAAAAAAAAAAACCCTTCCAGACAATTATACTCATTGAAATTATATTTTCTCTGTTGTTTAATTCCATTAACAAAATGATTATCAGTGAATTTACAACACATTTTGTGATTGAATATAAGCATTGTACATTGAAATATTTTCACATTATTACTGATGTTTTGGCTATCAAGCTTAAGGGAATTTCTTGCTCATTGATTTTGTGATTTTGTTAAGTTGAAAGACTGTTTTTACTCTACTGTAGATGTGAAGATCAAATTTATTTCCCCATCAGGAAATGCTGTTTACAATAATACTAAAGCTTTTGATTTGCATTTGTATAAAGTTTTATTATTTTGTAATAAGAGGAAACAGTCAAAGGTTATTTTAATAGACAGATTTATTGATTGATCTTTACTACTAGCTGCGTTTATCTCAAGGTATTCTGTAACCTATCTAGTTCTTATTGGTAACATTAAGTTAATGTCAAGCCTTGTCTACTAGTAGTAACATTAGATAAAGGAATTCACCAAGTTTGCTATTGGTAACATAAGTCAACACACTCACCAATTCTGCTCTTAGAATACTTTAGTTAACCCATTGCTTCATGAGCATTTTGTGAAAAATGGCTGTTTTCATTGAAAAGTCTCCCGTTACAAGTTCAAATTGCTATAATACTATAAAAACTGCTTCAACACTAATCAAACTTGGCACAAATGTTGACTGAACCATTGTCCTTGCAACAACATGCTCAGACTTAAATTTTCTGTTACCATGGCAACGAGGGGACATCTCAAAATTGCCAAAAATCACTATTTTGCGTTGATTTTTTCCATCAAAATTGATTTCCAAGTGCTGCAACTTATCAATGGATTGAGATAGAGTCAAATGCTTTTCAGCGTTGGTTACACGTTACCTTATGATCAATCTGGGGTCATTTACAGCCTCTCACAAGTCCAAAATTTTCTTGGCGATGAGGGGGACTCCGCCCCCCTTCAAAACCCCCCAAAACAGAAGGGGGCACATCCCCCTTCTGGCAACCCCCTGATGTATCTTTTGGTTGGGGGGCCGCGCCGAAAAAGAGGTCAATTTTTTTTAACAACATTTCTCAAACAAAAATAAGTGTTTAGGGCCTGGATAAGGCATTTTTTCATCATTTGAGACAACAAAAAAGGGGGGGGGGGGTGAAAAAGGCGTTAAAAGGCGTGTATATGAAGTTAATGGGTTAACTGAAAATGATGAAAATACTTGAAATTACCCTAAATCGCGTTTTTTCATGTTTAAACATGGCCTGTCATATAAATTTGAAGAAAAATTGTTGTTTTGTAGATTTTTTTTTTTTTTTCATTAACCCATTGCTTCATGAGCATTTTGTGAAAATGGCTGTTTTCATTGAAAAGTCTCCCGTTACAAGTTCAAATTGCTATAATACTATAAAAACTGCTTCAACACTAATCAAACTTGGCACCCAAATGTTGACTGAACCATTGTCCTTGCAACAACATGCTCAGACTTAAATTTTCTGTTACCATGGCAACGAGGGGACATCTCAAAATTGCCAAAAATCACTATTTTGCGTTGATTTTTTCCATCAAAATTGATTTCCAAGTGCTGCAACTTATCAATGGATTGAGATAGAGTCAAATGCTTTTCAGCGTTGGTTACACGTTACCTTATGATCAATCTGGGGTCATTTACAGCCTCTCACAAGTCCAAAATTTTTCTTGGCGATGAGGGGACTCCGCCCCCCTTCAAACCCCCAAAACAGAAGGGGGCACATCCCCCTTCTGGCAACCCCCTGATGTATCTTTTGGTTGGGGGGCCGCGCCGAAAAAGAGGTCAATTTTTTTAACAACATTTCTCAAACAAAAATAAGTGTTTAGGGCCTGGATAAGGCATTTTTTCATCATTTGAGACAACAAAAAAGGGGGGGGGGTGAAAAAGGCGTTAAAAGGCGTGTATATGAAGTAATGGGTTAAGGTACCCAATAAGTCTGCTAATGGTAATTTTAAGTGAACAAGTCTGCTATTGGTAATTGAAGGTTTTTCACCATGTTTGCTATTGGTATATTTAAGTTTCTCACAAAGTCTGCTATTGCTAACTTAAAAAAAAATAATAATAAACTCTTTATTTAACGAAGGTAGCTTATTAAGACAATATATCAAAGAATCCAAGATAGCACATATAATGTTAAAGGAACTATAAGTCAACATATATAGTCTCTTATAGGTAACTTATAATTACGGTACATACTAAGTATGCCGATATGTATTAATTAAGGAAATACCGGTAATATTGATTTGCTTAAGCTAACAAACACACGTCAATCATTTATTTGACTCATAAAAATGTTATAACTTTTTACCATTTGTGAACGAAATCAAATATAACTCATGTCATAAGAAAATAGATCAAGATTAAATATTGAGAAGTATTTCTGACTTCTCAATCATTTTTGTCAACTGGAAATATGAGAAATTGATTGCTTTGGTATTTCTCTTGAGGATTTTTAATGACATTTGTTTTCTTGCATCAAAGGTGGTGGGATAAGATCAGTAGAATTATCATGTAATAGTTTTTGTGAAAATTCATATTAAATGTAAAACTAAGTAGCAAATCTTGTTTTAAATGCTAAAATATTTGGCTAACATGACTTACAGTAATGCCTTAAAGAAACATTTGAATTCTGAACAATTAGTGTATCATTTATTTCTTGTAAACAACATGAAGGTATTGATTATTTTAATAGGATTTTAAAGTACTTTCTTTGAATACATGTTGTATTTAAATTTGTAAATAATATAAATCTGAATGTAGTTCACTGCTTATTAGTTATTTAATAAAAGAAAACCCAAACCTCATATTAAAGTTGTGAATATTACTATAATATTTCATCATTTTACTACTGGATAAAGTGTCAGACAATAGATTGCTAGAATCAGAAAGACTGGTTGATAAATCTTATACATTTTTATGAATATATGATATCATGTAATACCAGACAGTCAGTCAATTATAAAATTGGCTAAATTATAGCTGCAGACAGTTAATTGATTGTGTTGCAATCTCACTCATTACAAGTTCTCATGTCTGATATGGCTGTAAGCAATAACAACATAATGACCTGCCTATGGCACCAATAGAGAGCAATGCTATTTTACTGTTATCCATGCAGCCTGACCAATTAGTCTACTTATACTTTTGAATGCCAGCATTTTTCATATAAAAAGGGTATAAAGCTATATTAGGTCTGATTGTTACATTTTTTTTATTGGGTAGAATATTTTTTATATTGATTTAAATTATGCCAAAGATTTTATAGAATATTTTGCCAGTAACAGCTTAACACATTTTAATCTTTACCATGCTCGAATTTGAAATGATAAGCTTTTATCACCAGTACACTGTCCAGTGTCACTAGTTTGACAGTGCCATTTTTTGCACATATACTACCTTTGCTATTATGTATGTTCTAATATTAATGTTCTTGGTATAGTGCTGTTAAATCCACCTAAAACCACAGATATGTATACATATATTTAACCATGTGCTAAAACCACAAGAGGATACAGTCAGTCTATCAGAGTAAACAGCATGTCCAGGGTGGGGAGCATGTCCCCGTACCCCTTTAAGCACATTCTGCCCCTGTTTTTTTTCAGGTCTGGCTAAAGCATTGTCTGATATTTTTTAACTCCCTAGAAATTCATAATAGACAGTGAAACTAGTCAATTAAACAAATTTAGTATGTTAATGGTTTAATTTAAAGCCAGTCTTCACTAATGAAGAGTATTTTGTAAATGAGCACAACTTTCATATCGCAGATATAAGATACATAATAACACCTATCTTGTAACAAGCTGTTATTGCCTATTAATAAAGTGAAAATCAGGAAATAAGAATGAGATAATTAAGAAGAAATGGGGATATATTAAGAAAATTAGGAAAAAGAAAACTGTATAATTTTGCTGCCCCTGTTTTTTGAAATCACTAATTAGAGGTATAAGACAGCTAAATATGCGTGTCTGAATTTCATTTTAATGGACGCGTCTGCTAATTTCTGTGATTTTATTGTGGTTTCATTACTATATGTAGGTGTTCTCAGCAGACATAATACAGGTAATGAAGCGGAAATTTAATGTCAGCAAATTTTTATTATGGTGGTAGATAGGTTACCTAGTTCAACTTGTACAGAAGCTTTAATGTTTTCTAATTAGAAAAAAAAATCCATGCAGATTTTCCATTACAAAAAATTGTGTGATAAAGGAAATTGAATTTCTTTTTTTTTAGTTAATTAAGAGTCACCGATGTGAAGGCTGATTTTATTTTTATTCCATTTATCTGTCATGCAAAAGTAAGATAACTATTTCTTTTATTCCTCTATTTCCTTATTCCTTCAAGCTATATTGATATTGTAATTTTTACAAATTCAGGGGCGATAACTCTTTTACTTTCAAAGAATTCAGAGTCAGTTAAAGTATTCAAAGTCAATATAAATTAGGTGCAATTGTTAAAACCAAAGGTGCTTTAAATACTATCATTAGTAGTCGAAAACTGTATATACAGTAGAACTTCGGTAAGTCGAAGTTGAAGGGACTTGCGTAAAAACTTCGACACATCGGGACTTCGACTCATGAATTGCTCTCAATTTCATGACAAAAATTTCGACCCGTGACTAGTCATAATAATAAGATCTATACTTTAACGAAACGTATTTCATATTTTTCCATTATATATCTGTTATTTTACATTTTACAATGATAAATATAGTGTGTTGAATAACTTTTTTCAAGGCTAATTATTTTGACTACCCGTTCACGTAAACAATAGAGTTACAAAAGGCGTAACAATACGAAAGGGCGATAACTACACCAGCTTATAGTAAATATTTCGCGTGTTATTCTCATGCGACACCGGGTTACCTTTAAAATAGAAATGATTTAAGCATTTTATCACACATTTTATCGCAAACAAAGGCTGTTTGAACACACGGCTGTGTAATTAATACCTGTCACACAAGTTGATTTGTGTGAAAAATGTCTCGAGATCAAAGGTGTCAAAATAATCAAATGACTTCGACTTATTTGTGGTAAATTGCACTAGATTTACTTTATATGGACCACGAAAAAACTTCGACACATCGAAAAATTCGACACATAAAATCTCAACTCATAAATAGGTTTTTATAAGAAATATATAGGGGGAAAATCGGGACTTTCATTTTTCTTCGACACATCGCGAAAATCGACTAATCGAAGTTCGACTCATAGAAGTTCTACTGTATATGGATTTAGTTTCATTTTCACTAAGTGATTGGGCCAGTGTCTCTGGCTGAGTGGTTAAGGTCATGGACTTCAAACTACTTGTCCCCCAATGCCTGTCATGTACTTTAGATACAACCATGCGATTATGACGCATTTGCCATTCACTGCTGTGGTCACTAGAGACTGTAAGGTAGCTATCCAGCTTGCTTACAGAAGGTTTGCATTGCAAGTCTGGTCAGAATATATATTGTTTGCTGCCCAATTTTAGTATTTTGATGTTAAAATCCCTAAAACTACATTTGGACTGTTCCAAAAAGTCCATTACGATAAGTCAGCAAAATAAGGGTTGAATAATTAATGGCTGTAACTCATAATCATTCCCTGATAAAAGTTCTGGCCAAAATGGCTGCTTTGTTGTTAAGTTATTTGTGAAAACTCAGTTTTTTCATAGGAAAAAAATGTAAATGTAATTACTTTTAATTTATTTAATTTCATGAATGACAGAAGAAACATGTTAATATTTTTTTTTCTGGATATTTTTTTCTCTTACTAATTGCTTGAAAGATTTTCTAGACATCTTATTTTAAACAGTGTAATAAGTCACAGAACTCTTTTATCCTTTATATAAAAAAGAATACAAATCTATAAAAAAGAAATGTACATCAAATCATAATATATACCATACATTTATTTTTTGCTCGAAATTCAGAATTGACCTGTTAACCAAACCCATACCACATTCCTTTAGACCTGACATTGTATCTTATTGATTAACACAACAAAAAAAAAATAATCTGACAATGTTGCTTAATGAGGAAGATTTTTATTTCTTACTTCTTATCAGTAATTTTAAAAGTGCCAATAATAGTGTATAGTTTGTCTTGGTCTGACTGCGTTTCGGAAAAATGATAGAGATACACCAAAACCCGGCAAATGTCACGGGGAACAAGTTAAAAGTAACAACTTGGTAAATATACAGATAATTATAGGCACACCGGTTTTGATTGGTAATGCACAGTGAAGCTATAATGGTAAAAAATTGTATTTACCCGGGATTTGATGGGGAAAACCCATATTTGCTAAGTTTCTGGTACCATCTATTACCCTTTGTTTTAAAACAATCATGTTCTTTTGAGACTCCATTTTTAAGTTTGATAGTTCCTTATTTCTATTTGCAGCAAGGAGATTCAAACGCAGATGTTGCAAGTTTGTCTCGCAGTGACAGTGCTTCATCTACACAGTCATTACAACATGGGGGTATGCCTGAACTATTATTAGGGCTTGCCTACAATGGTACTACTGGGAGATTGTCTGTGGAAGTAATCAAGGGAAGTAACTTCAGGAATATGGCAATGAATAGAGCCCCAGGTTTGTTTTTAATGCAGTTTCTTTGTTTGATTTTGATATATTCTTATATTCTGATGATTGTACGGAAAGCCTTAATCTAATCCTTTGCAAAAATCAAAGCCCTAAAAACTATTTGAATTTGGAGAGCCTCAGCTAGCTAGCTCTAGACTTCCTTTCATATGATTAAATTAAGATAATATAATTATTATTGCACTCATGAAAATAAATTGGCAAATTTACAGCTCATGATTATTTTGGCATTTATTAATCAACTAGAAACAGCGACTTTTTTTTAGATTAGAGTTAAGGACTCTTGACATGGTCAGAATTTAATCAAAGGAATACAACTTATTTATACATTTATTCAGTTAAGAGTTATAACCCTGTATTGCATTTTTTCTCAGTATTGTGGCCTTTTTTGTACAAAGAAAAAGTGATCTATAAAAAAGTGTTTTTTTACCTTTGTCTATTGTAAAATTTTGATGTAATCAGCCTTGGATTTCTTCTAGCATGTACTTTTACCTTTGTCTATGAACTTTATCATTTTCCTATCGTCCATAAAATATACATACAACACATTTGATACCCAGTGTCATTAAAACCTCCATTCTATTGTAGGAATTTGCATACATTGTTGAAATAAAGCCGCTTATACTAAAAAAGAGATAACAATTTAGATAAATTCAGACATTTCATTGATCTAATTCTGTTGCAGACATATTTTTATTTTGTTATAAAGAAGCAAGTCATCACCTCAATTAGTGTATCAACTATTGTTAGCCAGTAAACAGCATTGATCTCCAGGAGATTGGATTAAAGAATTACTTTACTATGATGTTTTATTGGCAGGTCCTCAGATCATATTAATTCATGTCTGGTTAGTACACTGAATGCTCGTGTGGTTCCTGGCTTCTTGCTTTGCTATTTAGGGTAGAGCATTATGTCCTGCTGCAAGATGAAGCCTGTTTGCCACAGTGTCCAACATTATCAGTCCAGTACAACCAGTCCAGTACAATCAGCCAACATTGTCAAGCCCAACATTGCTATGTTATCAGTCGAACATTACCAGTACAACATTACCATGTTACCAGTCCAACATTTTCATTATCCAACATTACCAGTCCAACATTACCAATCCAACATTACAATCCAACATTATCAGTCCAACATTACCAGTCCAACATTGTCAAGTCCAACATTGCCTTGTTACCAGTCCAACATTATCAATCTAACATTACCATGTTGCCAGTCCAACATTACCATGTTACCAGTCCAACATTTTCATTATCCAACATTACCAGTCCAACATTACCAATCCAACATTACAATCCAACATTATCAGTCCAACATTACCAGTCCAACATTGTCAAGTCCAACATTGCCTTGTTACCAGTCCAACATTATCAATCTAACATTACCATGTTGCCAGTCCAACATTACCATGTTACCAGTCCAACATTTTCATTATCCAACATTACCAGTCCAACATTACCAATCCAACATTACAATCCAACATTATCAGTCCAACATTACCAGTCCAACATTGTCAAGTCCAACATTACCATGTTACCAGTCCAACATTTTCATTATCCAACATTACCAGTCCAACATCACCAATCCAACATTATCCGTCCAACATTATCAATCCAAAATTATCAGTTCAACATTATCACTAAAATGTTACCAGTTTAACATTACCAGTATAAACTTATTTATCAATGAAAAATATGATTGTATTAAATAAATATTGTTATATACTAGAAAAATGGCTAGAAGGATATTGATTTTCTTAATATTTCTCCTTTTGTAATAAGTTGATGATGTTCTTGACTGTGTTACAAATATCAGTTTAGAAATTATCTATATTTGTACAGGTCTGTTTTTCATACAGTTTCAAATAAAACCGCCTAACTGAACAATTTTTTTTCAAAACACAAGTTTATGTTTAGTTTAAGTTTAGTTAATAGATACAGTGTATATTGCCTTATTCTACAATCAATTACCGTATATAATGTTATGTGATATAAAATTGAACCCAGATTATGTTTATAGGTTGTGACCTATAATGTATATTGGTCATCATTTATTATTTTGTACTCAATTTTATTATTACAACATGGTTATCCTTATGAGCATATGAAATTTTTCCATATTTTTTCTTTTTAGATTGACAATATAAAATGATTCTTTATTCTCTTTAAAATATTTATTATGTTGCCCCTTTGTCTGTTATGCAGATTTTTTTATGTAACATACAGACACACAATTGTTCAGTTAACATTTAAGGGATAATACATTGTACTTAAGTCAACAATAATGATATCTCCCCTCTGTTATAATTATAGTATTTCTTAACTTATGTAAATGACCTATAATTTCAAAGGTCATGTTTTAATAGAGAATTATATTAAAAAAACAACAACTGTACATGTTTAGGACAAGAATTTTAAAGAATGTGTCAAAAGGTACACAAACCTTTTTTCCCTCACATTTTCATTCTGACTTGAGGTTCTCCTTCACCAGTAAAACTACATGTAGAATGTCACCATATTTTTATGACTTTCTACATTGTCAGTGTGACTAAAAAGCCATCTGAAAAAGTATAACAGGGAGAATTTCAATGCATACGATACTTTTTGCAAAATGAACAAGTTTTACCCGATGTATATTTTATTTTCAGATACATATGTAAAACTTACACTGATTGCTCCGAATGGTAAAGAAGTTGCTCACAGCAAGACCTCTGTGCGGCGTGGTCAGCCAAACCCACTGTTTAAAGAGACATTCATGTTCCAGGTGGCGCTTTTTCAATTAGCAGACGTCACTTTAATGGTGTCTGTTTATAACAAAAAATCTATGAAGAAGAAAGAGATGATTGGATGGTTTGCTCTGGGTAATATTTTAATATTTAATTCCCTATCTTAAAGGCACAATATGCCACAGTAATGAATAAATCTTTACTCCTTTAGAAAGGGCAAACATGATTTTTATAACACTTAAATAAGTTGTTTTAGAGCATGTTAGATGTTTGTAACTTGAAGAAAGTTGCAATAAATGTGAAATAATTTGTCACAAATGTAGCAAAATGTAAACAAAGCAGTATTTTGACTTCCATACAAATTACCGAATTGCTACAACTGTACTATTTGCCAAAAGACAACAGCTAATAAAGATGATGAAGGCATTTGACCAATGAGTTACTTTTTGAAAGTACGACAAAAATAAAAGGCATTTGAAAAATAAAAGCATTTCTGATGCATAATGGGCCTTTAATATGTGTAGCAGATTTCTAATTTATACTTGAATTAAAGTTACAACAGTATGAACTCTCTTCAGACTGCTTGATATTGTGCAATGGTGATAGAATGCTTGGTAAAAAATAGTTAAAACCTACTCTTTCTTTCATTTGACCATTTAACATCATGCCCTTGATATGGTTGACTTGTAACCTACTTAATTTTATACATTCAAATGTAAAGAAAGATGGTAGTTTTTTTTAACACTCTTTGAGTCTGCTTCTTGAAGCTAACAAGTACTTGCGTCATATGAGAAAACATGGTGTGACCCAGTAGAGATCATGACATTGTGAGGAAACTATCCAGGAAGGTTATGGAAGGTTGGTGGTTCTATTCAAGTGCCGGCTCTTGTCTTAAATAATGCTGCAAAGGTGCACCTGAGGTCTTTTTCTCCCAATAAAGCTGGAAAGTATGACCTTTGTAGTCATGATATCTGACTTAAAGTACAATGTATAACAAACCAAACTGGGTTGAGAAACAGTCACATTAACCATAAGGCCACAAGCACCTTTGTAGGATTTTTAAGCCAGTGAGGTTGCATATTGAATCTTTCCTGTTAGCTAAGATGTTGGCTAAGATGACTCTAAAAGGGTTAAACTCTTATATGCATGGAACCTGACCAGCTTGGCAACTCAATAGCATGTTCACACAAAGGGTCAAAGGGCACATAATGTACCCATACCAGTAAGGTGACACAAGAGAAAATATAATATGATAAAAAAACACACCTAAGTTGTTTTTCATCACTTTTCTTTCTTTTCAGGATTAAACAGCTCAGGGGAGGAGGAGAACTCTCATTGGACAGATATGAGGGAGAGCAAGGGAGATAATATATGCAGATGGCATGTGCTTTTAGAATCCTAGTACACTCCCTTTATTTGACAGGAAAGTGGTGTGGAAGTGAAAATAACTAGAAATGCATTGCAAAAAAATGAATTTTGTAATGGGAAAATTATTAAAGAAACATTTGAAGTTGTTACAAGGGAATTATTTCTCATATAACTGCAAAAAAATGTGTACAAATATTTACACCATGACAGATTTATGGCTGATTTACTTACAGAACTAATTACTCAGCTGCAGAGAAAATTGAAGCTGTTAAAATGATTTTGAAAATTCCAAGGAAAGGGCCATTTTTGACTAGTCATAATAGTTTATAATGTATAGAAATGATGCAAAATGTGATATAACACTGTTATATAGTATAAAAATGTATGATCATGTACTTAATACTGTTTTTATATCCATTTTTCTTTTTAGTTTTTAATTTAGGAACTAGTGAGAGAAAAATAAATTGGTGATTGTTTTTTACATTTTTTAGGGTTTTCATTTTTATACAAATATTTGGCTCTTTGTTTTAGAGTGCACATAATGTTAGTTTATATACAAAAGAGCCAAACATTTTACACTGAATTCCCTGTCACAATTTGGTTTTTAACCATTTCAATGTTTATTTTGTACATCAAATATGCGAGGCTAAAATTTTGGTACCTGTCGTTTTTTTTCAACATCATTTCTTTACATTTTATGTACAAAGTAATATAAAAATATATGTAATAAGAGATCTGTACCAACCTCTCCTCTTTGAGTACAGAAATAGAACTGTTATATGTATGGTCCTCAAAAAGCATGCATTTTTTTACATATTTTTACAATGCAGTTTTGTGATGGGTTTTGCTATAGATGAAGGCACGTGAGACAGATTTTAAATTGGAACATTCCTATGATATGCCAACCCTGGTTGTGAATTGGTTGATCAGTAGATTTTGATTTTTGTAACACAAACTGGTTTTATTAAATGATATTAAGGAGATGAATTATGGTTAATTATAACACAGAGATATCTGTTATTGTTATAAATTATATGCACCTTTGTGTATAAGCTGTTAATTTTTGGGAATTCATAACAGTGACAGTGATTATTGTTATAAATAATGTTATTTATAACATAGAAATTTGTCATTGCTATGTCTGTACCAGTAAATAACATTGACATATGTTATTATTATTTATAACTTTGTGAAACTAGTTATTTATAAAACAGCAGTGTGTTATTGTTATAAATAACATAAGGATATATGTTTATTTATAGCATGGAAGACATAGATAAAAGTTGTGTTATAAAACAGAATGATTATATTGTTATTAATAGCATGAAAAGTTAATAACCTTTGTTATATTATACAGAGAGATGATGTTATTAATGATGAAATAAGTTAAAAATGGTTCTGTGTATCTCATTTAAGTATTGTTATTATCATTATAAATTCTAGTATATACTGTTATTTTGGTTATTTTGCGACATGAAGTAATGTTATTATAGGCATTTTTCTGAAAAGTCAAGTTGTTATGGTTCTTATTAATATCTTTAGAAATTATTTTATTTTATTTTCCTTTTCTTGATAATTTATTGAAAATTATGTACATGGACAGTGTGATGATATTATGTAAGAGCACAAAATATATAAATTTTGTAATTGGTTGTTATTTGTAATGCAAGTTAATTGTTTTAGTTTGTTTGTTTTTAAATAAGACACAAAGGGTTATCTTATTTTATAATTTAAAACAGGCAGTTGTTAAAATTTAAACAAGTTGTTTAAAGCAGTAAGATGCATTTATTATATTTAAAAAAAATTCATGTTCTGTATGTGAGAATACCAGACAGGTTGTAAGAAACACAAGTAGTTGTTTAGTTTATATGTTGCTGTAACTGTAAGCAGGAAGCTACATTTCAATATCAACGTCTGGGAATATTTTATAAGAATGATCTACCAAGATTTTTTAAAATTTCTTTATGTAGCTTCAAGAACCAGATAGGTTGTGCTTTCAAATCAGCTAGATTTGACAAAAGTGAATAATTAATTTCAGATAATTGTACTTTTTCATGTTACACTCTAAATATAGTGAGTGGATAAGATGAATTAAATTGAGAGAAAAACTTCTATTCATGGATACTGATTGTAACTTTTCATTTACCTCTTTATTTAGACAAATGTAACTTTTCATTTACTCCTTTTTTAGACAAATCTATGACTTGGCATAATCCTCTAATACTTTAAGGCCATTGTTAACAATCTTGCAATTTCATTCAAAATGGGTCCGAGGCCAAGTGGTTAAGGTTGTTGACTTCACACAACTTACCCCTTGCTGCTAAAATAATGCATGGAAGGGCACCCGAGGTCTTCCTCCAACAGTAAAGCTGGAATGTCGCCATGTAACCTATACTTTGTCGGTAAAACCCAATCAAACAAATCTCATTCAAAGCTTCCGCAAAAGTTCGGTCATAGTTTATCCCATGACGCATAAAAATTGTTATCATATGGAAGCATTAAATTTTACTTGACTTCATTTATTTTCTAGGAAACTGCTGCTATCAATAATCAAATCAGAGATTATTTAGTTAATACATATGTCAAACAATACTTATAGGCAATACTCACATCTAGAAAATTATAATCATTTTTTTGTAAAAAATTGTTTTTATTCCATGTTTTTAACCACTAATATTGAACATTGACATAATTATACTACATTCCACAATTTTTTATTCCATATGCATAGACAAATCATTACATGTTGGCTATTTTATTCTACAGCTACAATGATATCCAATGCCCTAAGTCTTTATGGATTAAACAATATCATATATTCTATACAATTCATAAAAGCGCCATTCTGACTGGCTGATTAGGGTTGACATCATGAGTCCACCATAAGACGTGTAGACCGCCAAAAGACATGTGCACCTGATAGCTTCATCATGGTGTGCTAATATGTCCAAAATTCACAAATATGTATAGTCAAACCTGTGAATAAAGGTCATTAAAAGGAGAGACCATACATGGTCTTTACAGACAAGTGGTCTTTATTTGAAGTTTACTCAATTGTATTTTCAACATTGAAGGTTTGTCGTTGAGTGGCCTTTATTTGCAGGGTGGTCTTTATTAGAAAGGTGGTCTGTAACACATGTTTGAGTGTATTCTGCTATACGTGTAGGATTAAGATTTCCTGGTATACATTTTAACAATAGTCGTTAATATATCATTTTTCTGACCAGATAAAAGTTATCTTGACCAAGGTCCAAAAAATTATATATTGACCGAATAATAAGTCTGAAATTGTCCACCTTGCTGCATTTGTGTAATAGATCATCTTGAGGCCATTTACAGGCAAATAGTTAAAGCTGCTAGTGTTAAGTGTTAAAAAAGTTACTGCCTTTGATTATGTGAGACTGAGTTGTTTTATATGTTACTAGTAATCTCAATTGTAGCTCTGTTTTGTTTTCCATATATTTAAAATGATGAATATCACAATATTTGATGTTACATAGAAATAAAAATAATATGCCACTGTTTATGATTTTATTTGTTCTTTCTATTTTACCAAAACTGTCATTGATGGAAGTGATATTGATGTATTGTTGATATTTTTCTGTCAAACAATAACCAATACACATTTTAGAAAATCAATAACTTTGACATAATGATTGAATGTCTAGAAACTATAAAAATTCACCCAAAACATATGAAGAAGCATATTGAAAAAATGGTCGGCAAAAATCATGCAATGGGCATTTATAAACAAGACACATGTATGAAAAGAACAGGTTTTTATTTGTTTGGGTCGTCAGACCAAACAAATAATGGTAGCGAAATTTCAGAGCCTAATGCTGTTAATTGCAAATGCCTAAAGTAGTCCACTTTTTTGAAGCGGTTACTTCCCTTTATATGTACACTAACGCCGAAAATTTCAGGGGAGATCAATGCGTAAAGATTGCCAAATGACAGGCGCATTAATTTTCAAGCAAAGTAGTTCCCGAATGGTCGAAGATTTCATATATTGTATCATTCTTTATAGATATACATGCTTATAGTAAGCTCCATGATTATTTACATCTGTGTTAAACAACAGGTTTAGTGTAGAAATAATAAGAGTTACAAACCCTAATTTAGAGTAATATATTTTTCTTCAGGCCATTAACATATAACTAAACCGTGGCCGAGGGGTTTGCACGCTCGCTTATGAATCGAGAGGTCTGGAGTTCAAATCCAAGTTGAGGCAACTCATTTTTTTTAAAAAATGTTTAAGCCAAAATAAACATTGAATTGACCATCAGTGTGGCAATTAGTCTTATAGCCAATTTACTACAGTTATAACACTGGAAAGCATTGGTGGCACTATACAAAAACAAATTGGTTTATAATCTCACAACCTTCACCTTTCTAACATTCTGAGACCCAAACAAATTCAGCGCCTTCTGTGCTTTGATTAATGAAAGCATTTAATCGGGTACGAAAAAGAATTACAGACAAGTAATTAATACTTGAAGTAAGTACAAATGTAATTATCAAATTTAATTAGTGTATCATTAATATTTGTCATCTGATATCGATATATCGTTGATTTGCTTTGCAATGAATCGATGACAACTCTATATTTTACACCCTTTCCATTCCATCTATAACTTCCCGCTCCTTACGCGTAAGACCTAGAAAATTGCCATATAACTAGTTTTTGTCCAAGTCCATATTGTAAGTAAAAAATTTGTAACGGAACAGAACTGATGTGTCAACTGATCTCAGTCTGCATAGGTTGCATACGCAGATTCTGTAGCTGCCAGCTGTCTGAAGGTTAAAAAGCTTCGTCATCACAATGATTTGCCCTAGGTGCTTTATTCTTAGTTATACAGATGCTTATTTGATTGAAAGGCAGTTGAATGATGACAAACTTCTGATTTAGATACTGTGACTCTTCTACTTGTTGGTAGAATATATCATCATTCCCTAAATCTTAACTAAATACATTCATCAACTTGATCATGAACAAGTTTCTGCTAACTTTTCCACAAGCATCACTTACATGAGCAATGGAAGATGAATGATGTGGGTATAATATTACCTGCCACTTAATAATCACAATAAAACAAACTATTTTATAGTAAGTCAAATCATGTTGACATCATGCTGTTCCAAATAATATGAATAAACTGTTCACCTGAAAGCCACAGATGTCCTCCGAAGATGGCAATTATTGGGTACTTCTTTAGTTCAAAAATATCCAATAAGACCATTTATGTATGCAACAATATAGACATAATGAATGAAGTTTACTGTTACCCATTATTCCGTCTGCCGTTACCTATTGTTCCTCATGTCAGACAAATGTCCTTTAGTGTATCCTTGGAAACTAACAATAAACTGTTTAGCATTGGTGTAATAAAGACAAACAAGAAAACTATATTTCTATGGCAACAGTGTTTTTAATAAAACCATACAGCACAAATGTAGAGAAATGTATCAAAACTGTCAATAAACCAACATAAATATCCAGTTCTAACAAAATAAAACATGTTAAAAAGAAAGAAACAAAACACACACTGAACAAAATTATCAAAAATAGGATTTAAATCAAATTTGGTTGTGTTTTTTGGGGGGGTTTCTGGGTAAGTAAATTAAATGCTGAAAGTAGTGTTATACCTAACCTAGATTGACTTCTGAGGCCTTAGGATTAACCCTGGTCTAGATATAGAGAATTAAAATAATAAAATACTAAAAATAAGCATGAACTTTTCAACAAGTACAAATCATTCAAAATGCAAACAAAAAGCTTATAAAACAGCAAAAAGTGTTAAAAACACCAAAAAGGCAACAAAACAAAAGTAAAACATTTCAAATTAGCAAAGGGCTCAGCTGTTATAACATAAAATGTAGTACAAAATGTAGTACTAGAATAACAAGATATGTTTGTAAAACATGTATGCCCCCTATCGGCAGCCAATTAGTCATGTGATCAGGTTATTATGCATGACTTCTGACCCAGTGAACAAACAATTAATAAGGGTTATCTAGTATCTACTGGTCATGACTAGTCACAAGGTAATAATTATTGTGACCCCATAGGTTGTGTGCAGCAATTTAAGTTATTACCAAACTTACCATATAATATATGCATAAATTTTATGAATCATGTAGGCCTCATTAATGACAGCCAAGTTGTTATATTACATAATGTGCATACCAAAAGCATTTTTAGTTTAATATAAAAATATCAACCAAGGCAACTTGAGTTGTTGAGTTATTGGTCAGAAACCGTCATTAAGTACAAGGTCAATATGACATTGACCCCTTGACCCCAAAATCAATAGGGGTCATCTACTGGTCATGACCAATCATCATACAAAGTTTGAAGTTCCTAGGCCTAAGCGTTCTTTAGTTATTGATCGGAAACCGTTTTTACCTACAAGGTCAATGTGACCTTGACCTTGGACCCCTTGACCCCAAAATCAATAGGGGTCATCTGCTGGTCATGACCAATCACCATACCAAGTTTGAAGTTCCTAGGCCTAAGCGTTCTTTAGTTATTGATCAGAAACCGTTTTTACTTACAAGGTCAATGTGACCTTGACCTTTGGCACCTTGACCCAAAACTCAATGGGGGTCATCTGCTGGTTAAGACCAATCATCATACAAAGTTTGAAGTTCCTAAGCCTAAGCGTTTTTAGTTAATTGATCGGAAACCTATTTTACATACAAGGTCAATGCTTGACCTTTGACCCCTTGACCCCAAAATCAATAGGTCATCTGCTGGTCATGACCAATCACCATACCAAGTTTGAAGTTCCTAGGCCTAAGGGTTCTTTAGTTATTGATCGGAAACCGTTTTTACCTACAATGTCAATGTGACCTTGACCTTTGACCCCAAAATCAATAGGGGTCATCTACTGATCATGACCAATCACCATATCAAGTTTGAAGTTCCTAGGCCTAAGGGTTCTTTAGTTATTGATCGGAAACTGTTTTTACCTAAGAGGTCAATGTGACCTTGACCTTTGATCCCTTGACCCCAAAATCAATAGGCGTCATCTACTGATCATGACCAATCACAATACCAAGTTTGAAGTTCCTAGGCCTTAAGGTTCTTTAGTTATTGATCGGAAACCGTTTTTGCTTACAAGGTCAATCTGACCTTGACCTTTGACCCCTTGACCCCAAAATTAATAGGGGTCATCTACTGGTCATGACCAATCACCATACCAAGTTTGAAGTTCCTAGGCCTAAGGGTTCTTTAGTTATCACTCGGAAACCATTTGGTCTACGGACCGACGGACCCGACGGACCGACAAATGCAAAGCAATATACCCCCTCTTCTTCGAAGTGGGGGCATAACAAACAGTGTTATACAAAAATACCTTAAGCACCAAATTGAAAATAAATTAAAAACAAGATTGCATTTGAGAAAAATGCTATGCCACCGCATGGTTTCAAATTTCACAGCTTTACTTTAAAGAACAAGAAAGTAGGTCACATCATCAAAATCTAGCGTCATCTGATATCAAAGTTCAATTTTTACAACTAAAACTGTGCACATGGTCAAAATGTCATTGCTGTACATCAAAGGACAAGAAAGTAGCGTCACTGTCCCCTTGGGCCCAAGGGTTTTAATTCAAAACAATTTTGATACAGGTCCACCAAATAACATTTCAAGTCAAATATCTAAGCTATAGCTTTCTCCCATTCAGAAAAACATTTGTTTTATTTTCTGTTTTTTTACTATGTGTACATAATGAGAATCACTGCCCCCGGCTTGGCCAATTTTGACACCCAGGGGAAAATTTTGAACAACTTTGGTAGAGGACCTATTAATGATATTATATATCAAACATCAAAGCTCTATGCTCTTGTACCTTCAGACAAAAAATATAATTTTTATTTTTTCACTATATGTACATAATGAAAATCAATGACCCCCGGGGCGGAACCAATTTTGACCCCAGGGCTATAATTTGAACAATCTTGCAAGAGGTTCACTACACAATGTTTCATGCAAAATATCTTAACTCTAGCCTTTGTAAATTTAGAGAAGATGACTTTTTAAGTTTTTACTATATACATATAAGGAAAACCTATGGCCACCGGGCGGGCGGGTCGCTAATTTTGACACAAGAGGCAAAATTTGCAATAACTTTTTGTAGAGTACCTTTAGATGATATTATTTTAACAAAAATTAAAGCTCTAAGCCTTGTACCTTCAGACAATAAGCATTTATTTATTTTTTTACTATATGTATATATTGAAATCAATGACCCCAAGGGGGGGGCAATTTGACCCCAGGGCTATAATTTGACAATCTTGCTGACGGCGTGGAGGTTTACTACACAATGTTTCATGCAAAATATCTAACCTCTAGCATTTGTCAATATGCTAGAAGAATTTTTTTTTGACATTTTTACTATAAGTTTTAACTATATACATATAAGGAAAACCAATGACCCCCGGGGCGGGGCCGATTTTGACCCCAGGGCTATTAATTTGAGCAATCTGGTTAGAGGTCTACCAGACAATGCCTTATGCAAAA